GGGACTGGGTTAGGTCGGGCAGGGGGACTGGGAACAAGGACTCCTGGGTTCTGGCCCCTGCTCTTGCCCGGACCTGCTGTGTGTACAATCACTTGGCTCGCTCACAGATAGAAGAGGGGTGGGCTGGGGTCCCCAGGATCTCATTCTGCCAGATGCCGGGCGCTGTTGCCAGGCGTTCTGGTCACTAGGTAACTAGGAGGTGGAGGGGTTGTGACCCCTTCCTAGAAGGTCCTTTCCTAGCCCAGCTGAAGGGGGAGGGTCTGGCTGGCTCGGGGATGGGGAGGGCCTCAGCTGGCTTAGAGGATGGACGGGGGGGGTCACCCTGGGGTAAAGCAGCTGAAAGGTACCGAGCGTATTTTGTGTTTCCAGGACAACCTGCACGTTGTGGATGGCCTGGACATGCCGACCTTTGACCCCCAGTACCTGGCAGACCTAGCACAATACAGGCACTGGGGCCAGTCCGTGCTGATTGTCGATGTGTGAGTGGGAGCGGGAGGGGGGAGACGCGGAGAGCCATAAACCCCAGACACCCAGCAGACAGCGTGATCTGGGGGCCTGGCGGGAGAGGAGAGCGCTGGGGAGGCCGGGCCTGGGGCCCAGGAGTAGAGCGCCCCCTGCTGGCAAGAGATCTGAGAGTGCTGCAGGGGTTGGGCTAGGGGGTAGCGCTCCCAGCCTTCCCCAAGAGAGGTGGGGACTGGTCTTGCTGCCCCGTGCCAATGCCCCCTGGCTGGCGTCGGCGCTCCAGGCCCTGCACGCAGCCTGGAGGAGGGTCTCGGGCGTGGGGGGCAGTCCCCAGGGCAGCCTTGGACTTAGCTCACGATTCCTCCTCTGCCTCTGTTCCAGCAACAAGATGCCCGAGAACATCATGAAGGCAGCAGCCCGCCTGAAAACCATCACCCTGGTGCCAGCCCTAGGTGAGTGCTGGAGGGGCGGGGGGGTCACCATGCTGGCCTCCCAGAGGGGCCCAGGCTGGGGGTGTTCACGAGAGCCCTGGCCTGCGGGACGCGGTGCCTTCCCTTCCTGCTGCGTACTGCCCTGTAAGGGGAGTTCGTACCATGGCTCTCACCTTGTCCCCCGCCTGCAGTACAGCAAGCACCAGCCTTCCACGATCCTCGTCCCTTCCTCCCAGCGTGGGTGGGGGGAGAATGCAGCTGGCTCTGCGGTGGGGCGCGGAGGCTGTTTATAGAGGGCTCCCTCGCCCGGCGCTGAGATGAGCCTGCCTCTGGGGTGGGGGGTCAGGAACCCTCGCAGGAGCTGCCACGTGGGCAGCGGGTGCTGGGCTACCCTGCACCACACAGATCCGGGCTGGGCTGGGCATGCCGTGACCCCGCCCTGGGTCTCTCTCAGGTCTCAACGTGCACAGCCTGCTCAAGCACGAGACGCTGGTGCTCACGCTGGACACGCTCGCCTTCCTGGAGGAGAAGCTGCTATGGCACGACTCCCGCTACACCGCGCTGTACCCCTTCCATCTGCCCTACAGCGACTTCCCCTAGCCCCGAGGGACGGCGCCTGCCGCAGAGAGGCCTCTTGCGCGGCGAGCCTGTTGAGTGAGTCGGCCCCACTGAGCGCGTGCGGAAAGGGGACTGGCGCCGAGGCAGCGTCCCGCTGCTCTCCCACGATGCACCTGGGGGTTGCAAAGTGGCTTGGAAGTGACTGTTCTCTGCACGGTGGACAGGAGGGAAGCTGGGCCGCGCCCTCGGGGGCGGGAGGATGGGGAGGGTTGCCTTCTCCGGCTTGCCTGGAGCGTGACTGTTAAACGGCCTGTCCTGCCGACGCACGGCCATTAAAGAGCTGCCGCTACTGCACTGCCTGGTGCTGGCTCGTCCTGCCTTCGGTGGGGTTGGGGCGCCAGGCATCAGAGCCCAGCGTTCCCCGCGGGGGCTGCTGGGCCAGGGACGGGTTTCACTTTTGCCTGAAGGGTTTACCCTAAACTGGGGGAGGGGAGGGAGCGAGCAGGAGCACAGCCCCCGGGGGGGGCGTCACCCCTCACCCTGCATGTGGCACATGGCCATGCAACCATGTGCTGCGCTGGGGCTGCAGGCCTGGAGCAGCCAGCGGGGGAGCGAGGATTGTCTGGTCTGGCCCTTGGGGCTGCTGTGGACGGAGCTGGGTTTGTCCAGGTGTGACGGGGTCCCTGGGGACTGCTGAGCTGCCTGTCCCACCAGCCTGTAATGCTGTGGCCAAGTTACCAGCCTCTGACGGGCACTGCCCAGCTGCGGTACACGAACCATCTCCCGGTCACTCGAACCAACAACAGCCAATTCCTCCCCAGCCGTGCACCCCAGTGCTGCCCCGTCCTGCCCGGGTCAGAAGCCTGGCCCGAGGAAGTTCATTACCCGTCCGCCCCCCCTCGATGTGGTGAGGACACGCTCCGGCCTTTGTAAAGTGAGCTGAGATTCCCCAAGTTCTTCAACCAAAACAGGCTGTTTTCGGTAAAATATAAACCAGGTTTCGTAACCGCAGAGAGATGCAAGTGATTGCAAGTACCATGTGTGGAGATCAGAGTCGGTTACTTAAGAAACAAGAAATTTCCATTCTGAGTTCTGCAGGCGAAGCAGGGGATGGCTCAAGCTGTGTCTCACCCTGAACGATGGTATAAACAGGTCACAGATCCTCACTCCCTGGCTGGGCCCATCCTCCCCCAGTTGGCTCTTTGCCTCCAGCCGGGTTTCCAGGGGTTGAGGTGGGGGGGAGTGAGGCCAAGTGTGACGGCACTTCCCTTCCTCCCACGTGCAGTGAGGGGTCGGTCAGTCCTCGTTGGTCAGGCGTCTCCATTGCCCGCAGGCTCAAGGATGGGTGCTCATGAGCCATTAACCGCTGTCTGGCGGCTCGCTGGGGCCTGAAGGCTGGCGGTGGGTGTTCCCAGCCTCACGAGGGATTTCAGTGCGTCAGACAACAGGCTGTTAACGTTCAACAGATCAAGATTTTTAAAATGACACCTCACCGGGCGTACTTTGTACACCCCATATCCTCATTGCGAGACGGGGGGAATATGGGGGGTCCAGGGTGCTGCTCTGAGGTACCGTGTCACACCAGGTCCTGCGGGGGCCGGGGAAGCTGCGTGAGGGCAGCCCTTGTCTGTCACGCGGGGGCTCGGGCCAGGGCAGCTCGAACCCCAGGCATTGGGGCTGTCTCCCCTGGGCGTGCGACGGGGCGGCGTGAGTCTCAGGACTGCTGGCTGAGCCGGTCTGTCCCGCACAGCCTCCCTGCCCCACATGCCCCCAACCCCTAGGATTCCTGCTCTGTGGCGCTGCCCTCCGGCCCTGCAGGCGGGGGGGTGGCAGCCAAAGCTCACAGCAGGGGAGGGGTTAACATCTCCCCGCCCCCTGCGATGCCGCAGGGCAGGCCGGTTTTAGGCACGGGAGACAGACGGAGCATCACGCGTCCAGACAGAGCAGGCTGGGCAAGCTTTGCATGCAGGGCAGGAGGGCAGCGCCTGCTCGGAGCAGGGTGGAGGCTGGGCCGTGCTACTCCCAGCTGCAGCCGCAGTCACTCCCAAGGGCTAGTTCCTCTTGGCTGGGGCCTGTTCCTCATCCGTGGAAGTTGAGCTTTCTAAAGACTTCGTGCCTTGCAACTGTTCTGTAAAATACTAGTAATGAGCAGTGGCAGGCCAGTGCTTAGGAGACCCTATGATAACAAACCGGGGGGAGGAGACCCTCCAATCACAAACCAGCCTGTGTAGCATTCACAAGAAGCCCTACAATAACACACTGCTGTGTGCAGCCTATCCTCTGAGAGACCCTACAATAACAAACCAACGTGCCGCCTCCAGACGTGCTCGTGTAACACGCTGGCGCATCATCCCCCACAAGTGAGACGAGATCTCGGAGGTCCAGGCCTGTTCCCAGCCGGGACTGGACCCGGGGCCTGCTCCCCACGTCTCACACATGCTCTGCTGTGGCAGTGAAGGACGCCAGGGCTGCTGATGTCTGGTCCTGTTTGTGCTCTGTCAGCCCGACTACTGCTGGAGCCTGGGCAGGCTCATGGGAACGTCCACACTGCAAGTGGAGAGAGGGCAGCAGGGTCAGCGCCTCCCTCCAGTCCTGCCTCCCCTTGCTCAGCGTCAGGGCGTCGCCCGCCTCTTCCCTCCCAGCAGCCAGTCCTGGGGCTTCAGGGAGCCTGGTGCGCTGAGCGGAAAGTGCTGGGTCCTTCCAGGGTGTGGCTGCTGACTGCAGCTTCCTGCCTGGCTCTGAGCACAGCTCTTTGGTGCCAGCGTCTGCTTGTGCTTCCCTCATCTGTGCAGTTCCTCCGGATCCTGCCTGGGGCAAGGGGGCAGGAACGGGCCCTGGATCTGTTTTCTTTGGCTCAGAACCGTGATTTTCTGGTGGCTTCTGTGCAGTTTTAAAAAACAACGTTCGATGCCATCGTCCTGTCCCTTTCCAGCCTCTGCGTGCCAGGGAGGAAAGCCGTCGTTCACTACGCAGGGCTGCCTTGTTAAATTACTATTACCCTGTTTCCCCGAAAGTAAGACATCCCCCGAAAATAAGACCTACTTCCAGTTTTGCCTCTCGCTGTAATATAAGGCATCCCCCCGAAAATAAGACCTCCCCGATAATAAGGCCACCCCGGAATATAAGGCCCCGAAGCTCCAGGAAAAATAAGACCTCCCCTGAAAATAAGACCTAGCGCATCTTTGGGAGCAAAAATTAATATAAGACACTGTCTTATTTTCGGGGAAACAGGGTAGGTGTATTATGATAGCACCCACAGTCCCCAACTGAGATCAGGGCCCCGGGCGCCGCCCAGACTCCAGCGAGATCAAGGCCCCATCGCACCGGGCGCCGCCCAGACCCCGACTGAGATTAGGGCCCTGTCGCGCCGGGCGCTGCCCAGACCCCAGCCAAGATCAGGGCCCCGTCACGCCGGGTGCTGCCCAGACCCCAACCAAGATCAGGGCCCCCTCGCGCCGGGCGTTGCCCAGGGCCCTGTCGTGCCAGGCGCCGCCCAGACCCCAGTGAGATCAGGGCCTTGTCGCGCCGGGTGCTGCCCAGACCCCGACCGAGATTAGGGCCCCCGGGCACCGCCCAGACCCCAGCTGAGATCAGGGCCCCCTCGCGCTGGGCGCTGCCCAGACCAATACTTCTCAACTGATTTACCATCGGGAACTGCATCCACACAATATCCTGCCTGTATGGCCCTGAGGATGTCACATGGGCTGCCCCAGCGGGCCTTGTATTGGGAAGCAGGGGCCCGGAGAGACCGTCCCAGCCCCGGAGTGCTTGTGGCAGGACAAGGCAGTGCCGTTCTCCCCATGTTACAGATGGGGAACTAGAGCCCAGAGACTGAAAGGGGGGATTTTCCTATGGGCCGAGCCCCCGCGCCTCCCCATTGAGCTCTGATAATCCGGCTCTAGAGGTTGTGGCAGGACAAGGCCCTGGGTTCCTGGAGTCGCAGCCCAGCTCCCTGAGCACGAGGCCAGAACATTTTAACCTCGGGCAGGATGATCTTCCAGCGCCTTCCATCTCGCAGTCTCAGGCCCCGGGCAGCCGGGCTGGTCCCAGCAGGTCTGGAGTGTCCAGCCCCTCCCTTCTGCTGCTTTCGGTGCCTGTTCGAAGGCTGGTTTTTCCCCCGGAGGAGAGGCAGCCACAGAGAGCAGCAGGCCCGGATAACCACGGCCAGCGCCGTGCACACGACGCAAGGCCATGCCGCGGCAGGGGCGCAGAACACAGAGGGGCAGCTCAGCCGGATGTCACTCCGTCTCTCCCCAGAACTGCCTATCTCCATAGAGACAGTGCAATCCCCCCGCCCCCCCATACAGACCCCTCTGTCTCTCTATTCTAGCTATTCATCCCCAGACAGGCCCCATAGCTAGCCATTCATCCATCCCCACACCGTCTCTCTCTCTCGGGACGCATGCTGCTGTCTAGCAGACCTGGGCAGCCAGCCGGGCACCTGGCTTCTTACACTGGTGCCCATCACCGTTGCAGCTGGGTTTCCAAGGCCGTGCCTCCGGGCTGCAGGGAACAAGTGACCTGGCCAAGGCCAGACTGGAGCCCCTCCCCTTGCTCTCAGGGGTGCGACTGGCCTCTTCCTTTGACAGCCCCCTGTGTCTGCGTAAAGGTGAGCCAAGATTTTCACACACCCGGCCATGTGCGGCTGTCAGCATGTTTATTCTTGCAGAAGCTGTGTGGTGGTGTGATAAGAAGCAGCTTTGCCCTTTTTTGGTGGTTTTAGAAGAACTCAAAGCTCCCCAACCTCGGGGGAGGGGCTGACCAGGTCCTTTCCCTCACCAGTGAAGTGCAGCCACCTCTGGGGTGGAGCATGACAGCTGCACAACAAGACTGCACCACAATTTGGGACAGGAAGTGAAGGAGAAACCTGGATGCAGCTGAAGCCACAGGGAGGGGGCTGAGTTACAGCCAGGACATCTGCCCGGGGGAAAAGTCTCAGATACTTCACTGCCTTTAAGGGTCAGGACATGGATCAGCCACCCCTGTCTGCCCTCCTACCGCTTCTCACCCCTCGGGGAAGGGGGCAGCAGCCGGCTCCCCGGGGGGATGCACCGAGAGGCCGGAGGCATCGGCACCATGGGGATTGAATTGCAGCTTGGCGAGATTGGGGGCTGATGCCGCTTGGGCAGCGTAAAAGGGGTGGAAATGCCCCCTACGAGTTGCCTCCCCATACAGGGCCTCCCAGCCCTGCGTGGAGTGGGCAGAAAGGCCTGCGCCCAGCCCCTGGTGTGGGGGACAGAGTGGGCGCATGGCCAGCATGCGGGGTGCTGTGCCCGGTCTCTGCTCCCCCGGGGCCCGGTGGGAAGCAGAGGGGCAGAGCAGCGGTGAGGCTGTGGGGTGGGCAGTGACCCCATCTTGTCGCAGCCCCAAGGAGCAGCCTGTGGGATTGCCCCTGGTAGCCGGGCTGGTCGCTCCCAGAGAGCGGGGAGAGCACGCCAGGATACGCTGCCCAGCCCGGAGCAGGAAGGGGTGGGACCTGCCTTGTTGGTGGCCTCTGCGCACAGGCTCCTCTCCAGACACACGGTTCTCCTGGTGCAGGATGACATCTCACTGCCTCTGTCTTGGCCTGACACGACTGGTTCTGCTCTGCTGCCTGCCTCTGGGTAAGCTGCGTGTTCTCCGGGTCCGCTGGCGGGGAGCTCAGGCCGCGCGGCTGGGGAATTTGAAGATGAGCAGTCGGGAGTGGGTTCAACCTTCTCTTCCCGACTTGCCTGTGGTGTCGCAGTGCCACTCGCAACAGCATCCAAACCTGCCCGGCAGGTGCCAGCTGGTGCCTTTAGCTCTGGGGCCGGGCCGGGGTGATTTGGAGGGGGGCACCGGGACCTGGGCTCTGTTGTCACAGCTCGGGGTGAGGCGAGCCCCAATGGGGCTCCGAAGGGCTAGACCGAGCGCCCCTCGGGCTGCGGCTGAAGCTGCAGGGGAGGGAGCATCAGGGCTGGCCGGCTTTGACACACACAGACCTTGTGAGTAGCAGAGACTCTCCCAGCCTGGCAGAAGCGTTTGTTGGAATGGCTCTGCGCTGGCCGTGGGCCCCTCCCAAGCACTAGTGATGGCTGGAGATGGTGATTCTCTGCATATTTCGGTAGCACGGAACAGCCCCGGCTGGCGTCGGGCTCCTGTCGTGCTGGGCGCAGCGCAGAAGCAGCGTGAGAACCAGTCCTACTGAAACAAGCTCCCAGAGACTGAAGTGGAAAACAAGCCCATAAAGGGGAAATTACTTCTCCTAGGTCAGGCATAAGGCAGGAAACAGAACCTCCCGCTTAGCACTCTGCCAGCTGGCACACTGGGCTTCCAGCCCCCGTTCCTAACCCAGAGAGAGGGAGGAGGTTAAAGAGTTAACATTTGCAGACCCGTAGGGAGGACACGGATCTGACTGGTGAGTTACAAATGAGCCACGGCCCTTGGCTTTGATTCGTTATTTATAATGATTTTATTCTTGAGTTCTTTGTAACGTCACCGCCAGCCCCCGAACCTTACAAAGAAAGGCCGGGCTGCCCCTGGGATGCGAGTGGCAATTGCCTGCTGGGTCTTGCATCGCTCTGAGTGAATCAAGTTTAAATAGCTTGGGGGGGGGGGGGGTCCATTGGCGCATAAATGCCAAGTCTGTGTGTGGGTGTGGGATGTCTGTAGCATCCCTCGCAGGGCGACGGGGGCCGTGTGAACCTGGGAAGTGGGCTGAGCATCAAAGGACTATTTTAAACTATGTGCCAGACAAAAAGGAACTTTGGGGATAAGAAAAATTCAGTGGGTTTCCCACGAAATACCTGGGGATGGGTGGGAAGCAAGTTCCCACCTGCAGACCCAACCTTGAGAGGCTACGCCCTGAGCAAAGAACCACTGTCCGGCTGACTAGCTGTTCCCGGGCTCTGAAGACCAAAGACCTGAGCGGTGTACAGGGGAGACTGACCTGGCACGAGGGTGCGTGTTGTTCTGAGTGTGGGGTGGGGCTTGCAGCACTGCCTGGGGAGGTCTCTGGGACGCTTGTGCCGGCCCTTTCATCGCTCTGTGTCTTCTCCGTAGCGCTTTCACCTGAGAATAACAGCACTGGGAAGGGCCGGGGGAGTAGCTTGTGTTTGGGGCCAAAGCGCCTGTGACAGGTCCCCCCGGGGACCTGCTGTGACCAGCCTGCCAAGCCCCCTCCCAGGCTCCAGCACACACACAGGTAGGGACACACCCAGCCGCAGTTACATGCAGACGCTGTGAGCAGCTCTGCCTGGGGAGGCTCAGCTAGGGCACCTCCCAGTTCCTAAGGCACCCCCCCCTCCCCCGAGTGTAAACCCAGAATTATACCCTCTTGCACTGCACCAAGAACTGCACAGCGCAAGCTCATGAAATTCGCCCCCTCCCTCAATGTGGAGAGGAAATACGCACCAGCTTTCTGCCCCGAGCTGCGACTCCCACACGCTGGTTTTAGACAAAGCAAAAATAAGTTTATTAAATACAAAGGATAGATTTTAAGTGATTGTGAGTGAAAGCAAATTACCTAGTTAATAAACAAAACCGCAAACGGAGCTTAGCACACACGATAGGTAGGATACAAATTCGCAAATTCTCGCCCTGCATGATAAACAGGCTGGCGGATTCTTAAGGCACAAGCTGCCTTGGGTTTCCCAGGTTTTCATACACAGGCTAAAAATCCCTTTAACCTGGGACCATCACTTCCCCCCTGTTCAGTCTTATTCCTCAGGTGTTTCCAGGTGTGTTGTTGTAGGGAGAGTGAAGTCCCCCCATGATGTCATTTCCCCCTTTTTATATCTTCTCCCCACTTGCTGGAAAGCTCTTTTGCCATGACCTGGGTCAAACAGTTCCCACTGTGTGGAGCTGTCTCTGAGACATAGGCGCTGACTTCCTCTCTTTCCCGTGGGTGCCCAACCCCCCACTCTGCCCCCGGCCCCGCCTCCACTCCACCCCTTCCATGAGGCCCTGCCCCTTCCCACCCCTTCCCCAAAGTCCCCGCCCCAACTCTGCCCCCTCCCTGCCCCTATTACAACCCCTTCCCCAAAGGCCCCGTCTCTTCCCTGCCTCCTCCCCTGAGTATGCCACGTTCCTGCTCCTCCCCCACCCTCCCGGAGTGTGCTAATGCTGCCAAACAGCTGTTTGGCGGCGGCCGGGCAGGAAGCGCTGGGAGGTAGGTGGAGGAGCGGGGACGTGGCGCACTCAGGGGGGGAGGAGGAGGTGGGGCAGGTGGTGAGGGGAGCTTGGCTGCCGGTGGGTGCAGAGCACCCACTAATTTTTCCCCATGGGTGCTCCAGTCCACGAAGTCGGCGCCTATGCTCAGAGAGGTTTCTATTGCACACAGTTCCTGGGGTGATCCTTGTGCTCGTGTGAATTTCTTCAATCAGCCACCAACATTGTTTGGCCTTTTTACTGTTGTGCCTGAAAGGCGGCTTGTGGGTGTGTTCAGCCTCAGCACGTTTCAGTAACAGGTACATAGCCAAACTTCATAACTTCACATACGACGATAGCACCGACAATCCAACGAGACATTCATGTCTAGCAGACCAAGACTTTTAGGATGCTACCTCACAAGGCAGACTTTGTACAAACCCTGTCCTAATTACACGACAGTGGTGAATAGTACGGTGCCAGGGTGCCACAGCACCGTTCATGGCGTTGCAGAGAAAGCGCCGTCCAGCCGTCTGGGCTGCCAGGTTTGGTCACCGCGTAGGCAGGGAACCCTGCAGGAGAGTGAGATCTGCAGGTCTCTGCCCAAGAGAGGTGATGCCGCGGAGCCGGAGGCCTAGTGCAGTGCTGGGGGAGTGGGGAGGGGGGCAAACACAGGTGCAGTTGCCCTGAACTGTGACAGACACTTTGCCAGGCCTGCTGCCCCCTTGTGCGTCCATTCTGGGCACTGACTGAGGCGGGGTCCTGGGAGAGAACAGCCCAGTGCCCGGCTCATTAACGGCTGTATCTCAAGGCAGGAGAAGGGGGGTGAAGGCTGCCGAGGCCCCCCTAGATCTGGCATTTCCTCACTCCCCGGGGCTACATGCAGCTGTAACAACCCCCCCCCCCCCCCCCCCACCCCCCCACAACCCCCCCCCCCTGCAGCTGGAGCCGCAGGCCAATGTCCCAGAGGGAGGCCTGGGCTGCGGGACCAGCCTGGCCTGGCCCACGTGGTGTCCCCAGAGGGGGGTGGGCTGCTGTGGCCATGTGGGCTGGGGGGAGCCTGTCTGATTCTCACCCTGCTCCCCAGCGCGCCCGGACCCATGCGGCCTGAGCATCGTGCCCAAGGACCCGGCGGTGGCGTTCGGGGGTGACGTGGTTCTGAACTGCACCAGCACGTGCTCCAATCACACCAGCCTGGGCTGGGAGACGTCGGTGCCGAAGGTGATGGATCGGGGAGACGGCTGGGTGTCTCTGAACATCTCCAACCTCATGGATTGGAACCTGGAGCCCCTGTGCTACAGCATCAACCCGCAGATCATCGAAAAAGCCAGGCTCCACGTGTACCGTACGCTGAGGTTTAACCGCGCGCTCACTCGCCCCCCCCCGCCCCCACTCCCCCAGTGCCGCCCCTGGGAGGGGAAGGACTTTTCCAAGGACTAGAAGTCGGTGCAAAGAGTAAAACCCCGGAGTCTGGATTCCCAGCACCCAGCTCCCACCACTGCCCCTCCCACACCTGGGAACGGAACCCAGGAGTCCTGTGTCCCAGCTCCTACCACTGCCCCTCCCACACCTGGGAACGGAACCCAGGAGTCCTGGCTCCCAGCTCCCCCCACCGGCCCCTCCCACACCTGGGAACGGAACCCAGGAGTCCTGGCTCCCAGCTCCCCCCACCGGCCCCTCCCCCACCTGGGAACGGAACCCAGGAGTCCTGCCTCCCCGGGCATCGAGCACAGTCTTTACAAGAAGGCAGAGCCCCTGGCCCGTTATATGCAGGGAGAAGTACAGGAAGGTTCATTCCCCTTTGTTTCCCCTTCTCCCCCCCCACCCCCCAGGATTCTCACCCCCCGAGATCCACCTGGGAGCCGAGATGGTGGCCGGTCACCAGGAGCAAATCACCTGCAACGTCTCCAGCCTTGTGTCCGGCTCCAGCCCCTCCGACATCAACGTCACCCTGAGCAGCGGGGACAACAGCACCCTCAACGAGAGCCGCGGCAGCCCGGCCGTGCGGTACAGCTTCGTGGTGCGGCCCACGCAGCACGGGCAGGAGATCGTGTGCCAGGCCTGGCTCCGCGTGGGCCTCCAGGTGCTGAGTAACAGCGCCAGGGCCACCCTGAAGGTCTGGGGTGAGGAGCTGTCAGTTACTGCGAGTGGGTCCTTAGTCCTTAGTGTGCAGCAGCTTCCTGACCATCAGAACGGCCAGTCTGGGTCAGACCAAGGGTCCATCCAGCCCAGTGTCCTGTCTGCCGACAGTGGGCAGTGCCGGGGGCCCCAGAGGGAATGAACAGAACAGGGAATCATCAAGTGATCCATCCCCTGTCACCCATTCCCAGCTGCTGGCAAACAGAGGTAGGGACACCATCCCTGCCCAGCCTGGCTAGTAGCCATTGATGGACCTATCCTCCATGAACTTTTCTAGTTCTTTTTTGAACCCTGTTATAGTCTTGGCCTTCACAACATCCTCTGGCAAGGAGTTCCACAGGTTGACTGTGCATTGTGTGAAGAAATACTTCCTTTTGTTTGTTTTAAACCTGCTGCCTATTAATTTCATTGGGTGACCCCTAGTTCTTGTGTTATGAGGAGTAAATAACACTTCCTTATTTACTTTCTCTACACCAGTTATGATTTTATAGACCTCTATCCCTATCCCCCCTTAGTCGTCTCTTTTCCAATCTGAAAAGTCTCAGTCTTATTAATCTCTCCTCATACAGCAGCTGTTCCATACCCCTAATCATTTTTGTTGCCCGTTTCTGAACCTTTCCCAAATCCAATATATCTTTTTTGAGATGGGGCGACCACATCTGCACGCAGTATTCAAGCTGTGGGCATACCATGGATTTATATAGAGGCAACATGATATTTTCTGGCTTATTGTCTATCCCTTTCTTAATGATTCCCAACATTCTGTTCACCTTTTTGACTCCGCTGCACACTGAGTGGATGTTTTCAGAGAACTATGCACAATGACTCCAAGATCTCTCCCTTGAGTGGTAACAGCTAATTTAGACCCCCATCATTTTATGCGTATAGTTGGGATTATGTTTTCCAATGTGCATTACTTTGTATTTATCAACATTGAATTCCATCTGCCATTTTGTTGCCCAGTCACCCAGTTTTGTGAGATCCCTTTGTAACTCCTCGCAGTCTGCCTGGGACTTAACTATCTTGAGTAGTTTTGTATCATCTGCAAATTTTGTCACCTCACTGTTTGCTCCTTTTTCCAGATCATTTATGATTATATTGAATAGAACTGGGCCCAGTACAGACCCCTGGGGGACACCACTATTTACCTCTCTCCATTCTGAAAACTGACCGTTTATTCGTACCCTTTGTTTCCTGTCTTTTAACCAGTTACCAATCCATGAGAGAACCTTCCCTCTTACCCCATGACAGTTTACTTTGCTTAAGAGCCTTTGGTGAGGGACCTTGTCAAAGGCTTTCTGAAACTCTAAATACACTATGTCCACTGGATCCCCCTTGTCCACATGCTTGCTGACCCCCTCAAAGAATTCTAGTAGATTGGTGAGGCATGATTTCCCTTTACTAAAACCATGTTGACTCTTCCACAACAAATTATGTTCATCTCTGTGTCTGACAATTTTGTTCTTTATTATAGTTTCAACCAGTTTGCCCGGTACTGAAGTCAGGCTTACCGGTCTGTAATTGCCAGGGTCACCTCTGGAGCCCTTTTTAAAAATTGGTATCACATTATCTATCTTCCAGTCATCTGGTACAGAAGCTGATTTAAATGATACGTTACAAACCACAGTTAGTAGTTCTGCAATTTCAAACATTTGAGTTCCTTCAGATCTCTTGGGTGAATACCAACTTATTACTGTTTAGTTTATCAGTTTGTTCCAAAACCTTCTCTAATGACACCTCAATCTGGGACAATTCCTTAGATCTGTCACCTAAACAGAATGGCTCAGGTTTGGGAATCTCCCTCATGTTCCTCAGCCATGAAGACCGATGCAAAGAATTCATTTAGCTTCTCCATCCTTGAGTGCTCCCTTAGCATCTCGATCATCCAGTGGCCCCACTGGCTGTTTAGGCTTCCTGCTTCTGATGTACTTAAAATTATTTTTTGCTATTACTTTTTGTCTCTTTTTGAGACCATGGAAATAAGAAACAAAATTACTTCCCACAGCCAGGGATAGAACCCAGGAGTCCTGGCTCCCAGCCCCCGGCTCTGACCCATTTGTCCCCAGGCCTCTCCCAGAGCTGGGATAGAACCCCGGAGTCCTGGCTCTCAACACCTGTTTATAACTACTAGACCCCCCTCCCTTTGCAGCACTCGGGAAAGCCCCGGCAGGGTTCTCTTTTCTGACCCCACCCTGAGCTGGGACTCCGACCCTGGAGCCGAGACTCCCATCGCTGCCCCCCAGTAATGCCAGGACAGTGATACCTATCGCCCCCTTGGCAGGGTGGCCAGGAGACAACCGGGGCAAGCCTGACGGTGTGGGGCACATGGGTGGGAGGTGGGGATCAGTCCCCCCCCTTAGGGCCCACAGGGGGTCACTCCCAGATGGCCCCTCCTTGCTGACCCCCGCTCTCCCCCTGCCCTTCCAGCCCCGCCCCATAGCGTGAAGGTCTCCGTGGAGCGGCTGGAGTTCGGGGTCGGCGCTAACTTCACGGTGCGGTGCAGCGCCGAGGGGAATCCCCCGCCCGAGCTGCACTGGGAACTGCCCTCCAACACCAGCGTGGAGCTGTCTGACCGCGGCCGGAGGGTGACCGTGCGCTCGGCCCAGCGCGCGCACAACGGGACCTACCGGTGCCTGGCACAGAACAAATATGGGGCCAGCTCGGGGCAGGTCGATGTCCTCGTCGAAGGTAAAAGCAACGGGCCCCAGGGCGCCTTCCTTCCCCTCTGCTGAGGGGCTCCGTGCCAGCCCCCGGAGCCGGGCCCAAGGCTGGGAGCACTTGGGACCTGGAGCCACGGGCTCCATGCCTGCCTCAGTCATTGGCTCCCTCGTGACGTGTCTGTGGGTCCAGGCCGGGGCTATTCATTGGGCCGGGGGGTGGTCTCTGTCTGGAGCAGGGTCCCCAGCCCTGCCGGCTTGGTCTGATCCCCTTCTTGTCAGGGCAGACAGCAAGGGCTGGCTGGGGGCCACCGAGACAGGGCTACCGTGTCCTGTCGGGGGGGGGGGGGGGGGGGGGGGAAGGGGCGCGGGGGCCGGGGGGGGGGGGGGGGGAAGCAAGCTGGGGCTCCCCCCCTGACTCGTGTTTCTCCCACTGTCTCCACAGTTCCCCCAAGGTCCCGAATCGTGATAGTCGCAGTGGTGCTGGGGGTGATTGTGTTTCTCGGCGGCGTAGCCCTGGTAGTGTGGTGGCTTGTGAGAAAACGCTTCATGACGTCTTAGCTGCGGCCCGCGGCAGCCGCAGTCCAGGGCTGTCCCCGCCCGCCCGCAGTGGGGAAGGCGACTCGGGGAAGGGGAAAGCACTGGGCAGTGAGGAGCCTGAGCCTTTGGGTGAGGACAAGGAGGAGCCCAGAGGTGTCTGAGCCGGAAGCCCTCACCGCGGGGGACTGGTTCCAGGGGCGGTGGGGTCACGGCCCTTTCCCTGCTGTGCCCCGGCTGGTGGGCTGGGACCGAGCAGAGGAGCCGAGCCGGGCCGCAGCTCTCCAGGATGTCTAGCCCTGGTGCCTGTGCGTGTGTGTGTGTGCGTGTGTGCATGTGCGTGCGTGTGAGTGTGAGCCTGTGTGTGCACGTGGGAGTGTGCATGTGAGTGTGCGTGTGTGTGCGTGTGTCCGTGTGCATGTACAATCCTTTTTCCGGTGCCCTGGGACTGTTCCATTTACAATGAGTCCAGTCCAGACGCTCAGGTAACCCCATGCTCCCGCCCCCCCAGTGGCTTACATTGGTTCCTCTTGGTTTGTTGGTCTCAAATAAACTGACTGCCCAGGCACCTTCTGCTCTGTGTGTGAGGCTCGCGACCCCACCCTGGAGCAGCCCCCCGCGGGCGCCCATGGAGGTGTTAGCCGTTGGCAGGGCAACGCACGGAGCCTGTATCAGCTCCAGGCATTAGTCATGGTTAATGCTGCTTCGTATGGCCCCCGGGCGTTAGAGGGGCCCCGCAGTGGGACATGGGGCCTTTCCCTTGGAGGTTGCTGGTTTGAATCCAGCCCCAGCTCGTAACATGTCTGTGTCCCCGGCTTGGAACGAGCTGTGGGGGGTGGGGTGGGCACAGCTCAGTTCTTAGCAGGGCAGGAACCTCCTGATGTTGATGGCCCTGAATCATTAAAAGTCTAGATTAAAACCGAACCCAAGCACCACGAGCCAAATCCAGCCTCAGGCCCCTGCACCTCTGAGCAGCCGCTGCTGTTTCTTCCACTTTGGGCAGCGGTGGCACCGATTGGCACCAGTCTACCTGGCACACCCAGAAAGGACCTGCCGCTCTGTCGCCCGTGCACCTGGAGAGGGCAAGACCCTCCCCAACCAGAACAGCGATGGGCTGGAAATCACGGGAAGGGACCTCGGGGAGTCCTCGAGCCCGCGGTGGAGAGGGGCAGGCCAGGGATCCCGTTCGGCGTGATGGGGGGGATACAAGGCTTGTGCTGTAGGTGCAGATGAGTCAGTGTGACCGAGGGAGGGAGGGGATCCCTGCCCACACGCCCAACCAAAGCTCGGAGTCGGGTGACAATGACCCCGTCTGGGCCTGAGCCGGCTCCGCTTCTGGCTGCCGCTGGTGCGTCTAACCGCTCAGGCAGGGTGGGTGCAGGAGCCATCTGCTTCTTTGCAGAACTCCGGAGTAGATCCAAGTCTCTTCCTAGCTGGCCGGAGGAACACAGGGAGGTGGGTGGATCTCTGGGCAGCTGGGCTCAGAGAAGGGTAACGTACCGAATAACAGACTCACTAATCATAATTCCCTGATAGCAGCGGTGTCTGAGGATCTCAAAGCACTGGGCAAACCATTGTACCATGAAAGTGATCATGAAATGGTAGAGTTCACAGTTCTAAGGACTGGTAGGAGGGAGAACAGCACAATAAAGACAATGGATTTCAAGAAGGCAGACTTTAGCAAACTCAGGGAGTTGGTAGGAAAAATCCCATGGGAAGCAAGTCTAAGGGGAAAAACAATAGAAGACAGTTGGCGGTTTTTCAAGGAGACATTATTAGGGCACAAGAGCAAACTATCCCCCTGCGTAGGAAAGATAGGAAGTATGGCAAGAGACCACCCTGGCTTAACCAGGAGATCTTCAACGATCTAAAAATCAAAGAGTTCTACAAAAAAGTGGAAACTTGGTCAAATTACAAAGGTTGAATATAAACAAATAACACAAGTACGTAGGGATAAAATTAGAAAGGCCAAGGCACAAAACGAAATCAAACTAGCTACGGACATAAAAGGAAACAAGAAAACATTCTACAAGTACATTAGAAGCAAGAGGAAGACCAAGGCCAGAGTAGGCCCGGTACTCAATGAGGGGGAAAGACAATAACAGAAAATGTGGAAATGGCAAAGGTGCTTAATGACTCCTTTGTTTCCGTTTTCACCAAGAAGGTTGGTGGGTGGCGACTGGACATCTAAAATAGCGAATGCCAGTGAAAATGAATTAGGATCAGAGTCTAAAATAGGGAAAGAATAAGTCAAAAATTACTTAGACAAGTTAGATGTCTTCAAATCACCAGGGCCTGATGAAATGCATCCTAGAATACTCAAGGAGCTGACTGAAGAGATATCTGAGCCATTAGCGATTATCTCTGAAAAGTCATGGAAGACGGGAGAGATTCCAGACGACTGGAAAAGGGCAAATCTAGTGCCCATCTATAAAAAGGGAAATAAGGACAACCGGGGGAATTACAGACCAGTCAGCTTAACTTCTGTACCTGGAAAGATAATGGAGCAAATAATTAACCCATCAATTAGCAAACATCTAGACGATAATAAGGTGTCATGAACAAATCAGGTCAAACCAACCTGATAGCTTTCTTTGACAGGGTAACAAGCCTTGTGGATGGGGAGAAGCGGTAGATGTGGTATATCTTGACTTTAGTAAAGCTTTTGATACTGTCTCGCATGACCTTCTCATAAACAAACTAGGGAAATGCAACCTCGATGGAGCTACTATAAGGTGGTTGGAAAATCGTTCCCAGAGAGTAGTTATCAGTGGTTCACAGTCATGCTGGAAGGACATAACGAGTGGGGTCCTGCAGGGATCGGTTCTGGGTCCGGTTCTGGTCAATATCTTCATAAGTGATTTAGCTAATGGCATAGAGAGCACACTTATAAAGTTTGTGGACGATACCAAGCTGGGAGGGGTTGCAAGTGCTTTGGAGGACAGGATTAAAATTAAAACTGGATAAATGGTCTGAAGTAAATAGGATGAAATTCAATAAGGACAAATGCAATGTACTCCACGTAGGAAGGAACAATCGGTTGCACATACACAATGGGAAATGACGGCCTAGGAAGGAGTACTGCGGAAAGGGATCAGGGGCTCATAGAGGATCACCAGCTAAATATGAGTCAACAGTGTGACGCTGTTGCAAAAAAAGCAAACATCATTCTGGGCTGTATCAGCAGAAGTGTTGTAAGCAAGACACGAGAAGTGATTCTTCTGCTCTATTCTGCGCTGATTAGGCCTCAACGGGAGTATTGTGTCCAGTTCTGGGCACCGCATTTCAGGAAAGATGTGGACAAATTGGAGAAAGTCCAGAGAAGAGCAACAAAAATGATTAAAGGTCTTGAGAACATGACCTATGAGGGAAGAGTGAAAAATTGGCTTTGTTTGGTCTGGAGAGGAGAAGACTGAGAGGGGACATGAGAACAGTTTTCAAGTAAATAAAAGGTTGTTACAAGGAGGAGGAAGGTAAATTGTTCTTGTTAACCTCTGAGGACAGGACAAGAAGCAATGGGCTTAAATTGCAGCCAGGGAGGTTCAGGTTGGACATTAGGAAAAACGTCCTACCTGTCAGGGTGGTGAAGCACTGGAATAAATTGCCCAGGGAGGTTGTGGAAGCTCCATCATTGGGGATTTTTAAGAGCAGGTTGGACAAACCCCTGTCAGGGATGGTCTAGATAATACTTGGCCCTGGCGTGAGTGCAGGGGACTGGACTAGATGCCTCTCGAGGTCCCTTCCAGTTCTGTGATTCTATAGTAAGCAGCAACAGAGAGTCCTGTGGCACCTTTTAGACTAACAGATGTATTGGAGCATAAGCTTTCGTGGGTGAATACCCACTTCGTCAGACGCATGTGAGCAGGTTTGCTTGGTCCTGCGTCAGCACAGAGGGCTGGACTCAAAGGCCCTGCCAAACGTGCCCCCATTTCGGGCTCTGGGATTAGTGACAAGCCATGGCCAACTGTGTCCATCTTGTCCCAGGCACACATGTAGCTCCTCGTATTTCCATAGCGCTGAACAGATGGCACATTTCTGTCCAGGGCAGATGCATCGAGTGGCAGGAAGCCGTCACGGGCGCAGAGGATACAGCCTCGGTCCACGTTTCCACTCCCTGTAGTTCATATGAACAGCAGAAAGCCAACCCGAAGGTTTGAAGCCGTAAACACAGTGGGGAAAAGCGACTTTAAAGGCAGGATCTGCTCTGTACACACTGGCCAGCGTGCCAGCAGGAGGGAGTTTGCATGGCAAGAGGCCCCAGGAAGCAGGTTAGAGCAGGTGCTGCAAACTGTTCGGCGTTGTGCGGATTTTCCTCAGGTTTGGGGCATCTCTAGGGTTGGATCCAAGGAGGTTCCGGGAGGTTTCACTGAGGGGGAAGAGAAAGGTTCTGTTTCGAACTTCACACTGCCTGTACCAAGCCGAGAGGGCAGTTACACCCACATCCTGGGGGGGGAAGCCTTGACACAGAGCAGCAGGGTTCTGTGGCCAGCAGCATTTCTTGGAAAGAGCGGCCTCTCCCCGCACTAGCAGAAGTGCCCCAGCTTGGTTCTTTTCTAAAGGAAATCACCACCAGGCCGAGCACCCTGCAGTGCCCCAGCAAGGTTCATCCTCTGAGCCTCCCCTGGGCGAAGCAGATAAGGGATAAACAAGGATTGCTGCACCCGCCACTGAAATGCAGCCGCCTCTGGGGTGGAAGATGGCAGCAGTTTAACAGCCACATGGCAGTGCTGCTCAGGGAATGCCCACACAGTGTGGCGATGCATGCACTTCTGGGGTGGGACACAGGAGGTGTTTAACAGCCGTGCAGCCGTGCTGCACAGGGCTCACTTGCCCAAAGCTGAAATGCACCCATTTCTGGGGTGGGACGTGGCAGCTAGATAACAGGTGCACAGCAATGCTGCCCAGGGAGCGTTCACTCAGCACTGAGATGCAGCCAGCGGGGACCCAGGAGGTGTTTCACGGCTGCCTGGTGTTTGGGACAGGAAGTGATTTCGCTGCAGGGATGGGGCTTGTGGGGCCTGTTCAGGGTCCCGCCCTGTGGGGATCTCTCAATGGACGGACTCCTGCAGCAGAGGGCAGAGGCCAGGGGCCGGTGCAGACGGTCGAAAGCCCGCTGAAGCCAGCAGAACTGTCAGCTCTGACCCATGGGTATTTAGGTGCATCACAGCCCGGGGCCCCCAGTAACTTCTCACACGATCCCGCCCCACGGGCTGCTCT